TTTGATTAGATATGTATCAAATAGAGACAAACCAAAAACATTATCTTAACTGTAGGAAACAGCTACCAGGAGGGAAGTGGGTGGGGGATAGGGATAAAATTGGTGAAGGGGATTAAGAGTATACTTACTTTGATGAGCACTGAACAATATATGGAACTACTGAATCACTAAATGGTATACCTAAAACTAATATAATATTGTATGCTAATTACACTGGAATTAAAATTTTAAAAAAAGAATGAAATGCATTGAATATAGGTAGTTTGGAGAACGGACATCCACACAATACTGAATCTTTTTATCTGAAAGTAATATATACTCTTCCATTCATTTGAGGTCTTTTTAAAATTTCTCTCAATGTTATACAGTGTCCTACATAGAAGATTTGCTGATATTCTGTTAGATTTATTTTAATATTCTTTGATGCTAATTTAAATGGTATTATTTTAGAGGAGCCTGAGTAGCTCAGTCAACTGAGTATACAACTCTTGATATCAGCTCAGGTCATTATCCCAGGGTCATGGGATTGAGCCCTGCATCAGGCTCTGTGCCAAGCATGGAGCCTGCTTAAAATTCTCTCTCTCTCTTTCTCTCTCCCTCTGTCCCTCTCCCATGGTTGCATACTCTCTCTCTCTCTCTCTCTAGAAAAAAGGAAAGAAAGGAAGGAAGAAAGAAAGAAAGAATAAATGGTATTATTTTAAAAACTGTATTCTCTGCTTGTGTGTTGCAAGTGTGACATATAATTGATTTTTTGCAAATTAATATGTAACCATTTGCCTTGCTAAATTAATTATTCTATTAGCCTGTTTGTACTCTTTGGAATTTTTATATATAAAATCATTCCACTGGCAAATAAAGACAAATTTCTTTCTTTATAATATTTATATCAATGTTTTTAGATTATATTCTTTTTAAAGTAGTCTCTATACTCAGCTTGGGGCTTGAATTTACAACCGCAAGATCAAGAGTCACACAATCAACATACTGAACTGAACCAGCCAGGCACCCCTCCAATATTTATACCTTTATTTGATTGTCTTGCCTCATCACACTGGATTAGGGTACCATGTTGAATTGAAGTAGACAGAAGGTGTCTTTTACTTACACCTAATATCAAGAGGACAGCTTTCAATGTTTCCCAATGAAACATGATGTTTGCTATAGGATTTTGTAAATATCCTACAATTCTTAGTTTGTTAGTTTCCTTTTTAAATCACGGATTGATGTTGAATTTTATTGAAAGATGTGCTTTGGTCTCTATTTGAGATGATCATATGATTGTTCTCCTTTATTTGGCTTATGTGGTAAACTGCATTCATTGATTTTCATGTTAATACTACCTTGCCTTCCTGTAATAATTCTCATCTGGTCATAATATATTATCATTTTTAAAATATCACTGGATTTGCTTTGCTAATGTTTTTTATAGGTTTTGTGTCTGTATTAATCAGAGAGTTGATGTCTCTTAGGTCCTTTATTGTAATGTTCTTACCTGTATTTGCTATCAAAGTTATGATGATCTCAACAAATCACTTTGAAAATTTTTCCTCTTTTTCTGAGCTATGGAATATTATATGTAAGGTCGATTTTATTTCTAAGTATTTGGAGGAATTGACTAGTAAAATTGCCAGGCATGGAAATTTCTTTTGAAGGATTTTAGTTACAGATTCAATTTATTTAGTAATTTATTTTTTATTTATTTATAATCTATTTATTTAGTAATTCAATTTATTTAGATATTAAATAAATTATTTGCATTTCATATTTCTTCGCGTGTCATTTTAACCATTTTGGTAAATTATGGCTTTTTAAAAAAATTTTTAATTATATCTAAGAGAGAGAAAGAGACAGAGTGTAAGTGGGGGAGGGGCAGAGAAAGACTAAGAATCTGAAGCAGGCTCCAGGCTCTGAGCTGTCAGCACAGAACCCAACACAGGTCTTCAACCCACCAACGTGAGATCATGACCTAAGTCAAAGTTGGATGCTTAACTAATTGAGCCACCCAGGCACCCCTAAATTATGGCCTTTTAAATCATTTCTCCATTTCATTGAAATTATTACCTCAAAACTGATATGATACCTTTTTGTTTTTATGTCCTTAACAATGGGGTCTATAGTTAAGATTCTTCATTATAAAAAAAAAATCATTCTCCATATTGGTATTTTGTGTACTTTGTTTTTTTCTTGATCTGTCTTTCCAGGCATTTATGAAATTTATTACTCTTTTAAAATCTAAAAAAATAAAATCTATTAGATTTACTTTCTCTAGCACATTTGTTTTATGTTTTACTGATAACATTTTTAATTTTATTATTTCTTTCTTCTTGCTCTTCCTCCACCTAATTTTTTAACTAGTGGAAATGACTGGTTGATTTATTTTCAGCTTTTTTTTTTTCTTTTTCTGACAGGAAGTAGGATTTATTGGTGGGCAGGAATAGGAGCGGGCAGTGCTGAGGTTCTCATGAGTTCAGAGCCTGCCGTTTGTCCAAGGGGCCACAATTAGGGATGTATTTGATCCCATAGCCATAGCCATAGCCATCTGGGATAAGTCACTTTTCAGCCATCATGTCTTCAAATTCATCCACATTAAACTTAGTAAAGCCTCACTTCTTGGAAATGTGGGTCTTCTGGCAGCCAGGGAACTTGAACTTGGCCATGCATAAGGTCTCAATCATATTCTTCTTGTTCTGTACCTTGGTACTGGTGGACATGATGACTTGACCAGTGTGACCCTGGCTACTGTGCCCTGGGGCTTTCCAAAGGCACCCCCATACCTATCTGGAGCCTGTCAGCTCCAGCACAGTACATCTTGTTGATAAGGATGACGTGGAAGGGATGGAGCCGCACTTGGATGTGAAAACCATCTTTGCCACAGCTTTTCACCATGTACATGTTGGCACATATATGGGCAGCCTCCAGGGCTTCAGAGGAGAGCTGCTCATACTCATCTGGCACCGTGCGGCCACACAGTGGGAATTCCTCCACTGTTGCCTTCTCTCTATGTATATATTTACTGAAACTTGAACAATACATACAAAAATTTTCAGAGTTAATTTACGGGTTTAGATAGTGTTATCATTCTCTAGAATGTTTTTTTTTCTTTTTTGCTCCAGAAATTACTTTTTTTTTAAAGTGTTTTTTATTTATTTATAGAGGGAGAAAGAGAGAATGTGAGCAGGGGAGAGGCAGAGAGGTCAGAGAGAGGGAGAGAAGGAACCCACAGGTTCCATGCTGCCAGTGCAGAACATGATGCAGACTTGAACTCATGAACTGTGAGATCATGACCTGAGATGAAATCAAGAGTGGGAGGCTTAACCGACGGAGACCCCAGGTGTCCCTTCAGAGATTACTTATGCTCGTGGTAAGAGGGAGGCTGTTATGATGATGTGAATCCCTTAATCTATTAACTAATCATCTGTTTACCTAACTAATTTAGTAGATTAGAAATTGGGTTCTCATCTTGTGATGACATAGCATTTCTAGTTCTTGCCTTCTCCAAAGGTGAAGTCCTGCAAAGGTTCTATTTGAAAGCTCGAGTACAAGGGCGGCACCTTGTTGATGGTCCCTGGACTCTATTTTGCCCCTAAACCAGGTGCCCTTCACTTCTGAGCTTCTAGCTACCCCTTTCTGCTCAATTTCTCTGACTCTCAGTGGTCACTTACAAATCAGAAATACCTTGAGTGAAAACTAGAATTAAAAATCTGATTCACTCTTTGTACTTCCCTTTCCTTGGGGATTTTGTTTCTTCAGGTTCTCATTGCCTAGCCAGTTTTCTACAGCCTTCAAACCAATAGGTTTTATATTCTACCAATTTTTTAATTTTAGTTGTTCTTAGAAGGTGGCTGTTTCTGGAATAGTCTTCTCTACCATTAATAAAAACTAAAATTCCTCCAGGATGAGTTATTTTGAAATATATAACATTTTCACTCCTATAACACAAAACGGGTATACCTGTTGTAGCTGAAGACTTTCCAGACAAAAAGGCCTTCCCTTGAAACTAAAAAAACAACAGTGTGGTGCACTAATAATATTATGCTTGCAACGAAAAATGTGAACAATAGGAAACAGGAATTATAAAACACTTGCCTAGAATATTCTGCAGCACGGACAAGAGACCAGAAATCATCAGAAACTACCAAAATCATAATTCTAATTAGGGCCTTTAAAGGAGAGAGAACCCACGAATGATGTGTTTGATGCTCGCTGTTTTTTTTTTAATGCAGGAATGTCATATGAGAGCTAAAAACTGGAGTATATTTAAAATGCTGATGTTTAATAAATTAGCATTTTTAACTCACAGATTTCTATACAACATCATGTAATTTACACAACAGTTATAGTATTTCTAGAATATTACAGTGCTGTATAACAAGATAGGCAAAATAGAACAGTTTGAGGAACTTATTTTTCTTTCAATACTTGCCATTTATTTCTATAACTGTGTGCTTATCTTCTTTTGGAGATAATGTTAAGAGTCTAAAAAGTGACGCTGTGGACAATTGTACTCCCTTATTCTGCCACTCTAATAGTCTCTGCTTGAACTATCCTCTCTCTTCACTCTAATTAAATGAGCCAATTAAAGTGTCTTATCATAGTCAATATTATTTATCAATGACAGAGCTAATCACCAAAATGCATTATAAGATTATAAGATTATAGTAGTTCTAGTTCCCAGTGGGCTATAGAAAAACTCCGTTAATTTTTGAAGGGAAATATTATATATATAATATTTCATTCCAAACATAACATACAGTTCATCTTCCCTTTTTGTTTTAGATAATATCATTTTTTTCCCCTTAATGGATTCTTACAGTAGTCCTAAATCCTTACTATGTCTTGATAGTTGGCCTTGCTGTCATTTTGCAACCTGGACTACTGTTCATCTTTTTAAGAGCCTGGTTTTTCAATGTTAGTGTGTTTGAAACAGTTTTGAGGTTTTGTGGTTCCTGTTGACGCTCGACGGAACTTAGAACACATCGTTTCCTTTTGCTTTAGTGAACTGGCTGCGCCTTTTGAATGCATGCAGTCCATGGAAGTGCCCAAGCAGATTTATTATTAGAAAAGAAACCCATTTGGAATCAAGACAAGTGCCTCATCTCTGTACCTCCCCTGAGAAGTCTGGCTTTTTCAGGTAAGTGCAGAAGACCTGGGGTGGAGGGCTCATGAATGAAGGTTATGCATGAAGAGAACATAGTGAACTTACCAATGAAGTTCTATTTTGGAATCTTCAGTCTTGCTATAAAAAGCAAGCTTATTTACTCTTGACCACAATTCCTCCTTTAGAAAACGAATTGTGCAGTTATTTCCATGTAGTACACACTGCTCTGAAGGTGACACCGTTTTCATAAGTGGTCAAAAATGAACAGAAGTGGTTTCAGAATCTGTCAAAAGAAAAAAGAAAAAAAAAAGAGTCTTGCTAAAACCACCAAAGAGGCCTCTGGGCATTTGATATTGCATTTTACATATTAAAAAGTTTATAGTTTAAGTGTTTTTTTATCATGAAAATCTTTAAGCTCTATTATTGGTAATATTCTCACATATGATTTAAAACTATTCTGGCAGCCTTAATCAATAGAAGAAAACAATCAACAGCAATCAGGTACTTCAAAATTTCTAAAAGAAGTATATTCAAAATAATATGTGTATAATGGTTATTATAATTCTTTTCATCCTACTTTTGCAGTACTACATGACAGGAGGAATCTGAAAACAATTTTAAAATCACGCAATTACAAGAAGTATTACACTTCAAATATGTGAAATAGAATATAATGTAAATTTTAAAAAAGTAAGTCAGTAATGCACAATTTGAGTTTGAGAGTTTAATCTCGCTTCTTTAACAAATTTGTAATATAATTTTAGATGGATCACTTAATTCCTGGATTTCAACTTCCTACACACCTGCATAATTATTAATCTAATAAATTTTATTAACGACTCCACATTTTCAACTCTTTGTTGTTTTTTGTATTGGGTTTAAACCAATCAATCAGTCAATATTTTAACTGATCAAAAGAAGTAATGAGAAGACCAGTAGATGAGGAATCAAATGGTATGAATTCTAGTCTTTTGTTTTCTAGTAATTGGTTGAGTGATTTAGAAAATATTTTCTAACCATTTTAGGCCAGTGCTTGCGAATTTTTTTCTGTAAATCACAGGATAGTAAATAGTTTAGGTTTTGCAGGCCAAGAGGCAAATTTGAAGATAATATGAAACTATTTAATAATGTAAAAACCATCTTTAGCTCATAGGTGATACAAAAATGGGAGATGAGCTATATTTGGCCTCAGGGCCATAATTTTTCAACTCCTGTTGTAAATAATGATTTTCAATAATTATAAGGTGGATGATGTAGGGGTTTGTTGATGATACATAGGGTGATCCACCAATCCCCTAAACTTGTATACAAGAGTCTGAGTACAAGTAAATATGTTATTTTTAAATTGGGGACAAAAGGCCAACATATTTCATCAGATTTTCAAAGGGTCCAAAACCCAATTAAGGTCACAGACTACAGGACTAGCTGATTCCTAAAGATGCTTTCCAAATCTAAAATTCAGTTCAATGCTTATTGGATGTCTACTATGTCTTAAGCCACTGTGCTAATACAATAGATGTTAGCACGTCATAACCAAAATAACACATCAAAAATATATTAAATAATATTGTAATATGCACAAATCAGTGATATCCTTGAAAATAATAGCTTTGAGAAAAATTCTATAATTAGTCAGACATTTTTGAGATATTACTTTGCAAAGTGTCTTCAAATGGTATGAATTATGTCAAAATATTAATCAAATATTCCTATTGTCACATCTTATTTTTGATGACAATGGTGTTTGTCAAGACAACCATAATCAAACTTAACCTAAGCAGAGTTTCTTTCCTAAAAATATGATTTCCACAAGAGGAGGAACTGTGCATTTTTCATCCTTGTATTTGGGAACAATGTTTGTCACATACTAAGTGCTCAACATCTCTGGAATGGATATTTGAATGAATGAATGAATGAATGAATGAAAAGACAATCCAATTATGGCACATAATCATGAACACATTGAAGGGCTAGCACCCAAAATGTTCTAAAAATAATAATCGTTGCTAAGGCCAAATATTGCTTCTCTTTTCAACTTTGGACATAACTGTGATTTCAAAATACTTGGTCAAGTAAAGATTGCAGTTCCTGGGGATTAAGTCATCTTTTTTTTTTTAACAAGAGTGGAGTTTGTGAATTTAATGCACATGTTACAGATGTTCCAGTAACCTAGCTGTGGGAGGGAGGGATGGGAGAGTGTTTTATTAAGGAACAGCAGCATGCTCAGCCCTTCTGGCTAATACCAGGTGGGAGGTTGTACGAGCTGGAGCATTACACATAAATAGGCAATCCAAAACTCAGAGCTCATAGAATTTAGGGTAACACCCTATTCTCTGATAAAGAAGTTCAGCCTGGTTTCCATTGCCTGGCCAATTGATGATGCCAAAATCTGAGCACCATTCACTTGGGATTCCCCACAGCCATACAGGGTAGAGAATGGCTTGCAATCAAAATGTACCTCTCTTCTGTATCTAGGAATAATTTCATTTTCTGAAAGGGAAATTCAATCTACCATAGCTGGCTAGTGATCCATTCACTACTCTAGGAAAATTTAAATCTTAGGATTTAAAAAATTCAAGAAATGTTAATGAAAGCCTACAACTGTCCTGTGTATAGCTGGAGTTACGCCTGAAATGTCTTTATTCAAAAAAGTGCATCCCACCACCTTCCCTGCCTTCACTCCCCCATCACCTCAAACGCTGTTAGGAAAATAGCAACATACTATTCATTTGGGGTTGTAATTATAGAACACGCCTGTGCAGTGTCATTCTGCATTAAGTAACACCATTTGTTCAACTGTTTAGAGGTTGTGCTAAAGTTATATTCCTGGATCTCCTTAGGGATTAAGATTAGTCCTACACATAGTCCAAAATTACAAACCTTTATACATGGGATCTCAAATATATAACCCAATTATATTTAAGGTCCAAGGTTTTGCTTAAGTTATAACAGGAAGCTCAGTCCTCTCCTGAAGGATTTCTGAGACATTCCAGACTGTGCTTCCATGTTCTATAAGCCCAAAGCAGCGGGTGCCTCTCATCTGACTGCTGCTTTGGGCTTATAGAACACAGAAGGACAAATAAACAAAATAAATAATGTTTATTTATTTATTTTGAGAGTGAGCAAGCAGGGGAGGGGCAGAGAAAGAGGGAAAGAGAGAGTCCCAAGCAGGTGCTATGCTGTCAGCATAGTGACCAATGTGGGGCTCGATTTCATGAATCATGAGCTCATGACCTGAGCCAAGAGTTGGATGCTTAACTGACTAGAGCCACCCAGGGTCCCCACCTCTGCACCTTTCTGGCTGGCTTCATTCTAGAAAGTGAACAAGGGACCTCTGGCTCCATCTCAAACACAACTAACTTGAATCTGTAACAAATTTTTCTGTAGACTTTCTCTTGAAGGACTAGATAATAAATATCTTAGTTTCATAGACCATAGACTCTCGTCACAACTTCTCAACTCTTTAAGTGTCAGTGCAAAAGCAGCCACAGATAATAAGTAAACAAGTATTTGTGATGAGAAAAACTTTAGTCCTAAAAATAGGTGGCTGGCCCACAGGCTGTGGTGTGCTGGCCTGTGAACTATATTGAAGGCTTGATGATAACTTAAAAGTTGCAATTTTGTAGAGGGAAATGAAAGCCTTAAAGTTAGGATCATCTGATTTGGGCATCACTACTTCTCTGTGGAGGTATTGAACAGCTATCTCTCATTAACCCTGGGGTATGGCCATGCTATTGAGGCCTACTCATGATTCTGGGGCAGAATGCTCCTCTCCTTACCTTCACATCCACAAATTCAGGTTTATCCCTTCCTATGTAAAGCTCCACTTCGAGTGTATCAGAAATAAGTTTGTCCCATCATCATCTCTAAAGAACAAGGCCCATTGAACAGAAATGTGGTCTATCCACATCTTAAGCATCTTCAATACCTTCTATTTGTACTATAAGAAAGCTCACCAAAAATATCCTTTCTTGACTAAAGCGAGTGTCTGCCCTAAAGACAAGTTATTTCCTGTTTCTTATTTTTGTTTTGCTAAACAATACACAAAATTTGCCATTGTAACCATGTTTAAGTGTACTGTTCAGTAGTATTAAATATATCTACATCATGATGCAACCGTTACCACTATCCATCTCCAGAACTTCTGCATTGCCCCAAACTGAATCTCTGTACCCCTTAAACACTAACTCCCTACTCTCTGTTCACTCCCTGGTAACCACCATTCTACTTTTTGTCTCTTTCTTGTTGACTATTCAAAATCATTCAGATAAATGGAATTATAGTATTTGCTCTTTTCTGTAAAGACAAATTCTTGCTTCTACTGTTAGAATCACATGAAAAAATAAATCACCCATCTATTCTGGTTCCCAGCAATCTCTGGTTTCAAAATATTGGGGTCTAGTTTGAGAACGCCTGACATGAATTATCTCCCACTATTCTCCAACCTGTTCCCCCTGTGTCAATTATTAGAATGGCGGATCTTTCCCCAAATGCATATTATACATTATCTTCTTTGTAAAACTGTGATCCATACCTAGAACACCGCTGCTTCATCTTCTCCCTGGGGACTCCTAGTCATCAGAACCAGCACAGCCACCACGTCTTAGGGCATTTACTTCTACTGACAGATGAAATTGTTCTCTTCTTTCTGTGTCACCTGGTGTATTAGGAAAACCACCTAGTCTTTCCCTTAACTACTTTACTTCCCTTTACTACTAACAGAAAATACCTTAATTCTTACACTTCTGGTTAACAAATGTACAGAGGCTTCTCTTCCCACATCAAATATTTCTCCACAACACCAGTTGGTGGTCTATAATTTAACTCGATCTGACACTGTCTACCTGGAGATAGAGTCCGACCCCACAGGTTGAAGATCCAGTCCCACAAAACTGCTCCCAGCCTGCTTCAGATACCAGTCACAAGTAGTAGGTCCTCATGGTACACATCACTCTGTCAGATTTGGCTGCAAATGATAGTTTTCCACTACTTCCTCCTCAGATTTGATTAGTTTGTAGACTATCATACAGAAC